TTATTATATTATTATTATTATTATTATTATTATTATTATTATTATCATTATTATTATTATTATTATTATTATTATTATTATTATTATTATTATTATTTATTGTTGGATAAGAGACTGGAAGCTAAGGAGGAGGAGATTGATTTGCAAGAGAAGGGGGATTTGTCATTGATCGTTTGCTGGCATAAATCGTCTTCTTCTTCGTTCTTTTTTCTTTCTTCTTCTTCCTCTGTCTCTTTCTTCTCTCAAGTTCTTTCACTTCTTTTGCAATTGGAAGGCATTGCCTTTCCTTGTGTATTTGCACTTCGGAATTGGCCAGGATCATAACATAACAAAACAAATCAAGAATTTCTCCAGAGACTGGTTGGGCAAGGAACAGAATGCGAGGATGGGGGAGATCAGGTGGGAAGGGGGAAAACAACCGGCTGCAAGTCCACTCAGAAGGGATTATCCGCTGGTGTTCCATGACTGGACGCACATTGAAGCTTCACTTACAATGAGACCTGCAACCGAATTCCCGGATCTGTTCCCGCCGCACCCTTTGTCGATGGTGGACCTGAGGTGGTTCGGCTGCGACGATCGCTGAACCAAGGTCCTGATTGGCAGTCTGTAGCACTCTTCACATCCGAGGACCAAAGGACAGACTAAAAGGCTGGCGGATCTCATCGAGGTCAAATGAGATGTCTTCCAGGGACAATTCTGTCATCAGGCGGTCCCCACGCAGGACTCGCCTGAAGAGGCAACCTAAGATACAGTGGTGAAATTGTTGTCAGCCAAAGCCGGGTAATGGCCCCAGTACTCAGATTCACGTATCTGGGACTAAGATACAGTGGCTTATTGATGTATCTGGGACGCTGGACCCTGTTTCCAGCAGGCGCAGCTCCCCGCCAACAGACTTGAGCGATCAGTGGTAGGCCTACTAGCGGGAGGTGGTCATATTACTCCCCCTAGTAGTCCGAAGCTGGTCAAAAAAAAAAAAAAAAAAAGAACATGGCTGAGGCCCTGAGGGCAGTCAACTGGAAATAAGCACAGGTCTGAGCATGCAGAGTCACAGAGAGTGCCAATGCAGATACTGTCTACCATGGTTTCCATGGTTTCCTCGCGGTTCACACCCGACAGCGTCTCCCTCCTACGCCCCCCTCTGTTGATCATTTCCTCCCACAACAGTAGCCCGGCATCTCTCTCTCTCTCTCTCTCTCTCTCTCTCTCTCTCTCTCTCTCTCTCTCTCTCTCTCTCTCTCTCTCTCT